GGCAATGGCGATCGAAATCCTCGGGAAGAACCCTGCACCGGATATGCCGGACGGCGTAGGTTATCCATGATGTCACTTGGTCGCTCTTCAAGGTGGGGCCAAGAGTCCGTTCGGCCCAAACCTCTCAGTCCTAGCTATCTGGCGGAAGCTGCAACGTCGGCACACGTAGCCGGCCTCCCCGCAGTGGTAGCATACAGGGCGTTGGTCGGCCGTTCGCCACACGTCGGTCTTCGGGGGTGCACGGACCTTCTGGCAGGAGTACTGGACCTGGTCGTCGTGGCGTCGCCCGTACTACAGCGCAGGAGGAGACTGATGTCGGGGCGGCGCGACATAAGGTCGAGGAGGAGGTGGTGGCCGTCGGGCCGTTCCGCCGTAGGTTAACGTGGGTACCTGTGTGGCTGCCACGCTGATGGGAGGCTCTGTTTGGATGGCTCTCTGGACTTCTTCCCGCACAACCTCGGCGATGGACAGCGAAGATGGTCGGTCAGCGGCGCGTAGCAGCTTTCGGAACTCTTCCCGAACGACGTCGCAGGTGATCTGCCAAACGTTGTACACACCGATGATGTTCAGGTCAACCCGCGATGATGTTATAGTTAAGGCAACAGGGGTGACGGCGAGCAGGTGGTAGTGGTTTTCTCGGGCCGACAGTGCACGCTCAATGTTTTGGCTCCCGCTACAAAGTCGTCAAGAGTCGTTGGGTGTTGTGGATGCTCAGTGGTCCATCCATCCATTACACGTTCATAGTGCTGAAGCCAGCTCTCCACATACTCGTGGGCCTCGCCATGGAAGGTCGTCGGGGTTCGTGAGCGACGGGTAGGCAGACGACGGGCGGAGCGACCTCGGTCTGCGCCGACTGTCTCTTCATCGTCCGGGTTGTTGACAGCTTGGCCTTGGCAGGAAGAGAGCCGAATTTCGGGGACAGGCCTTGAGTCCGGTGGCTTCCTAGGGTCTCGGTATTTTATGTGGCTGGCCCTCTTGAGCCGGTGATTGGGCTCGCGCTGTGAGGCCTTGAAAGGGTATGCGTCATGGGCTACGTTACCCCGCACCTGCACCAAAAATGTCAAGAATGGAAAAGACTTCCACAAATGTGAACTGATAATAAAGGTTTAATGGGCGATCTTATGCCAGAAAACAAAATAAAGGACGAACGTCGAGACAGCAGAAAAGCGGGCGCGATTTGGCGGCGTAACAGCAAGCGAGAGCGAGAGGGACTCGACAAAGTTCCGCGAAGATCCTTTTCTAGTGTGTCTGGGTATCTCGAAAGTTCGGCCCAGAGTATTCGAGCGTCGAGCGTTCGGGGTGAAAATAAACCGGAACTTTCGAGAACAAGAAAGTAGGACGGAATGATGAAAGTTACGTCCCGAGTAAGAATAAACATAAATCTTCTCGAAGTCCGTGACCGAACGGTGGTTGCTCGGCAAAATTATAGACTGCTAATCGGCGCGATCGTCGAATAATTAACTAAAACGTGTAATGCGCGTGGGAAGCACAATAGTGCAGTTACTCCTCCAGCAACAGGCAAAAGCCTGGGGTGAGAGCACGTGGACGATAAAACACGAAAAAACAGCACGGGCGCGTTATGGCGCCGGTAGCCTTGCTCTTGCTGCACGAGTGCGAACTTTGACGCTCCACCATGCTTCCCTCATGCTCCATGTCTTCTTAAGGTTTGTAGCTTGAGCTAAAAAAGTCACAAACTACCTTATTAATCTTTACTTCGTATTATACATTGAAAATTGTTCATGATTTGTTTTTTGCAATAACGAGAAAGTAACAAATCGTTGATAACTATCTTTTTTTTTTAGAGAGCAATTGATCGTATACCCCTCAAAACCTCATAGGGAACTTAAAAAAAAAAAAGATAAGCTTGTGTTATAGCATTGTGAAATTAAATCACAGTCAAACAATTTAAATTAGTGGATGCATATATGTTCTACCTTATATATAAGGGTCCGGCTGCGAGATATGATTTATGGGACCACTGTGTTTTTTTATTAATATCCATAAATAAAATAGCTACAGAGATACAAAAACGAACATAGCTAAAGCTTTTTGTAGGTTAGGTTCATCTATACTTTCCTTTAAACAATACTGATATTTATTTACATCTCAACATGAATCTCAATGTTTTAAGACAGTGGTGCGAGAATCGGAGAATACAGATTCATCTTGGTAAACCGCCATATAATCATAAAATAAGCAAAAATGTGTTCCAGAAATTTGTAGCAGAACAAGCATGAAATGTCAACTAGAAGTACTGGGACATTGCTGAGGTCAGGGAAATAAAAATAGTCTGAAAAATAAAAATCCCCTAGTCCGCTCCCGCTTTGAGGGCACCGCAGACTTGAAGTCAAGACCAAAATAAAGTAATATGATTGTAGGATCAAGTGGAATTTCATAAAAAGCCAATAGGCAACGGGAATAAAAACAATCAGGGCCACAGCCAACAGAACGGCTCAGCGGAAACCAACGGGAACAGAGGACCCCGCAGGACTCGACACCAGCTCAACCCCGCGAGGGCGCACAAGAGGGCGACACTCGTGGGTCGACGATGGTCGCAGGGCTACAAGTGAGCCAAGCAAACCCTGCCGCGGGGATATTTGATATCCCCTCCCCCTTCCCCTCCCTTGGAGGAGCCCCATTGAGGGGGCCTTTCTCCGGGGGTGAGGGGGAGAGCTGGTACAGGTTCGCAGTGTTAGATTTTGCTAAAATTTGCAATGACGGACACATATCAATAACGAGTTATCTTCCGCATTACAGAGTATGCATGCCTTGCACGTGACGTCATATGGCACCGGATTAGCCGCCATTGGTCCGTATCGTTCCTGTGCGCGCTCCGTCTGCAGTATACATTTTGCGCCATTGAATTTGTTCTTATCGGCAAGGCTTGCCGAGAAGAAAAAAATTGAGGGTGTCAAATGTATGCTGCAGGAGGTACGGGTACAGGAGCATGGTCTGGAGCATTGGTGGCTGATGTGACGTCAGTGCAGACCATGTATATGCTTCATAAGATGGATACTGAAAATGCTGTTAGTAGAGCCAAGAGGTGGTCAACCAAAAAATATACTTTTCCTTTTTAGGATGTCAATGTAATAAATTTTAACAAGAAGTGACAAAAAAAAACGAGTCATTTAATACTTTGCTTTTTGTATTCTTTCTAGTTACAAGCGAAATGTTCTGCGACTATATGATAGTGATCAAGTTTGGACTTTACTTATGAGAAACAAAACGCGAAAGAATTAAAGGAATTTTCATTGGGTGATGCTAGGGAATTGCGTTAGCATGGCCCTGATTGTTAGCGTTTCCCAAAGGGGGACGTGTGTGGCGTTTCCGAAGCGTCATGCTAGAGCTTTCCTTAAGGATCCACCAATGGATCTTGCTTTAGTTTTTTTATGGCGGAGTGGGCCCTCCGAGTCCGCTTGGCCCTCTGTCGCACGAAGACCCCGTCGGCGCCGCTTCTTGTGCCGCATTTCGGCCAGCCGAGCTAGGCGCTGCTTCCTCTGCTCTGTCTTTTTCGCCCGCCTTGCAGCTTTAGCAGCGTCATCCCCTGCCTGACGCTAATTTCGATGTTCACAGGTTACTCGTGTGCGCATTGGCTTGCTCCCCGTTACGTTGCTTCCCTCTCGCTTTGTCCCTCCCTCCTCTCCTCCTCTTTACTTGGCGCGTTTCCATTTCTACTGTTTTGACTGCAGACCACTCATCTCTATGACAATTGCTGGATCACGTTTGCCCACTCCGCGAATGCGGCCACTGAGGGCCATCTTTTTGGTAGAGTTATATTACCTCTAGCCAAGGTATACAGATGCTGCAGCCACTATCATCCATTCACGGCAGACAGCATTGAGGCAGTTGAGGTAGCAGGCTGCCATCAAAATAGCGTGCGTGATATTTCGTGCTTGATGGAACTTGTTTTACAATACATATTTTTGAAACCCGGCGTGAACGGTAGCCCGATCTTTGAGGACCCGATGAAAGTTTCGCGAAATCGTAGCACCGGGGGAAAGCAGCACAGCACGCATCGAAAGTCGCATCGAGAGAAGCATTGAATGCAGGCGCCGGTACGGAGTCTGCTTTCGATGCGAGCTGCGCTGTTTTTCCCCGGTGCTGCGCTTTCGTAGGACTATCACGTGGTCCACAAAGATGAGGCTACCGTTCACGCCGGGTTTCAAGAATCTGCTTCGTCGAACAACTCCGATCAAGCACGAGTACACTGCACCCATGGTGCAGTGTACTAGATCCACAGCTATTTTATGGCAGCCTGCCGTCATTGCGCTTTCCGCCATATTACTATGATGCCTAGAGATAATATAACTCTACCAAAAAGATGGCCGACCTTGGCCGCATTCCCGTTCATAGGCGGAGCTGGTCAAACGCGATACAGCAAACAGACATAGAGATCAGTGCTGCAGACAGACGGCGTCAGCTTTTCGCTGTCATGTAGGTACTAATGCTAACTCACTACTAACGCCGTTAAAGCTGTTATTTTTGTATTAATAACAGGAAATTCAAAGTTTTCCGAAACTTCTTTTATACAAACAATTGAAAAGTTTAAACGGCTTCCAGTATGGGTTGTTAACCCCAACACGTGTATCAGTTCGATTCTTCGGAGCAGTTGGTTCCCTAAAACGAAATGAAATATATATCACATGGCTGGCTCTATATTGGCGTTAGCTTGAACTTACTATATTCAGCTTACATGTGTAGATGTGCTTAGCAATTCTATAATACCTTTATCATGCGTATTTATATGTGTTAATTAGTTACAAGTTGTACCAGTGATTCGACTGTACTGCTGTTACTTTATATAATGTCCTGTCTTTATTTTTGTTTAAGTAAAAATATCTTTATTCTTAAGTAATAAAAAACAAAAAACACACAACTTGAATTCTATCACAGGTGGGTTCTACGTGGGTAGTGACGCAAGTCAAGGATTTGACTTCAAGTGTTATAACGCTGTTGAACCTAACGCTAGCAACAGTCTAGCTGACACTGATCGCCTTACAATGAAAAGATGTATCAGAGTAGCGCTAGCTGTTCTCTGCGTTATCACTTCATGTAACGCCGGAAGACAATGTAACTGTCATCCAGAAGAAATTCTAGAAACCATATCGGAAGTTTTGGATTATCGAGACGCATGGCCTGTAAGTAATATTCACGTGAAATTGAAACTCTTGTTCTCGTACTCAGTGCGATGTCATTCAGTATAGTAAATTATTCAGAAAGGCACGTTTCGAAATTATTTCAGAGACACGCTAATGTGAGGCCCGACATACCTACTACAAGTTGCTTATTATAGCGTAATTTAGGAGGGCACTTATACCGTGTAAGAAATAATAAATCTAGATAGATAAATATTATTTACGTGTAATTTACCCATCGTAACAATATGCACCTTAGATGGAAGTAAAAACCGTGCCACCACTGTCAGTTTGGCCATAGCTACATAACGCTAGTCACATTAAATTTTAAATTATTGTTTTTTTTTACGGCGCAATGCATTATCCCGCAGATAATCAAAGTATTTGTAATTTTATATATGTTATGTCGGTGTATACAACTCCTAATCAGCATTATAAATCAATACACAACATTTAATGGATATTGACAAAAGATATTCATTATATATTTATTTGTTTACGTATTGAATCCTTTGTTTATTTCAAATAAACATATTTTATAAGACCCTCCATAAGCCAGTAGGTTTCTATGTAGAATGCGGCCCTTGCTGTTAGCTGTTTAGACTTAATAAAACTAAGGAGCATTTACGTGGGAACTAGCACTGAAGTCAGACGCGAACTCCTCGTTTTTCTGTTATAATGTCTTTATATATTACAAAAAGGCACACGTCATTCATATTTAAAAAGAATTAAAAAAAACGTATTACTCCCTTTTATGACACTTGAAAAGAGTGAGTTCACGTGTTATTGTGTTGATTGTGCCGCCTAATCTACTTATTCGTTTGTGTCGAAGAAATAGATGAAGGTCATAAGTTGCGTGCATTGTTAACTTTATGTTATGCTTCAGGAGAGTCTAGAAACAGAACGCATGAAACAGATGTAACATCGAAATTGATATACTCGGGCGTTATTTATACTTAGTGGTGCCCGTTCCAATTGCTGAGAGCGGAAGTCTTGAGATGAGGTCACACACAAGAGATTTCAAATATGACGATTGTCACGGGGGTTGAACAAAAGCTACGATGCGGTGGCGGCCTCGCCGTGTGCTCTCCTTCTATGCTCAGCTTCACCTTCCGATGCAGCGGATTGTAGGAACGACCGGGGTCATTCCAATGCTGTGCGAGTGCCACGCGATCATCAGGAAGATCGCAGCCACGTGAGGCGCTTAGTCACCTAACAAATTCACAGCAGTGAATTGGCTCGGATGCCTTGACGTATCCGCGGCGGTTCATCGTGAGGTGAAACGTATTATAGACGTTTCTTTGCCTTACATGCTACTCGCCATAGGTTTTCTCCCTGGTGTGTGATATCGGCTCGAGATGTCGGCTCCCTGTAATTGAATCCGCACGTAACGAACAGAAATGAAAACACGATTAAAATTATTTTTTTACGACTGAATGTATCCTACCTTGTTTAGCATTATGCTCCACGCTGTGTGTAAATCAATAACTACAGGTCAAAGCTCTATGCGCCTGCCCGTAAATATTTTCCAGGATACAAGCTTTCTTGTATTTCAATGAGTAGTTCAGTGAACGTAGTGGGCACGCAGTACCTTCGTATAGCTTCTCGATATGCTGTAAAAATCCGGGATTTAAAATATTGTGTGTGTGTGTGTGTGTTTTTTCTAAATCATTTAATGTTATTCTTACGTGTGAATGGCAGTGCTATACGTCAAGGACATCATTTTAAACATCACTTTAAATAGACGAGAATGTTCCCCGAACTTACGAGAATGCCAACTTGAAAGAATAAATAAAAGGACATTCCGCTGGCTGGAATCGAACCTAGATTTTCCGCTTGAAGTCCAGCGCGCTAGCCATTCGGCCACGTACGCGCTCGCTCGTCCACGCGCGTGGCAATATTCCTTTGCCCCTGATTAAAGCAGATTCCACAATATTTCAGCGTCAGTTCCAGGGAAATAATTGAAGAAAGTAAGTTTATCAAGACGAGTCTCAATTCAAGCAAGGGGAAAACACATATCTTATTTCCTTTTAAGCGTTATTGGAATTAGACAGATCGGCCGCCCTACACGGTCAAAAGTGTAAACTTTGACTCAAAATTAACAATTTGTTTATCGGAGAACCGCTTTTCAATCTTAGAGGAAGTACGCTGGACGGTGGAGGCTTAACGTGCGAGTTTGTGGTTCAAAGCAGAACTGAAAAGCGCGAAAAACACGACGACACAAGTACAAAACTTGCTAAGAAATTTAAGACGGAATATACCAGAATTGTAATTCAGCTTCCATATTTGTCTCTTTTGTGCGTCTTTTTGTTGTGTTCTCAGTTTTTCGTGTTGTGGGTTTCCTACCTAGAGAGAATGTTCTGAGCGAGACTAAGGGAATTAAGGGTGACTATTTTCCGAGTTTCACTGGTTTCAACTAGGGCTAGTGATAAGTTAGACAAGCATATGCTTAAAGGCAATTAGAATAATAAAAGAAACCAAAAGATTAGAGGCAATTAACGGGTGCATAATATGCCAGTGAATGAGTGCAACGTGGATATCCGTAACCAGAATCTACAAAAAGGAAATGTTAAGTATTCATTTTGCATTATACATTGCGGTGCCTACTGTAGAAAAAGCTGCTCGATGCTAGTTTTACCTAATTTAGAACGCTTCTGTTAAGTTTTGACTTCATTCTTGAATCTGTCGGGAAAACTCAACAAAAGACGGAGATTACCTGTTTGTGCTCGGTCGGAAGATCTATAATCCTATCATGTGAACCTTCGTTTCTGCTCTGCCTGGCACGCCATCTAGGGCAATATTCTTTTGGTGCAAATGAATAATATTTGTTATATTGTTAAATATTACTCATAGTCTATGAATAATATTATTATATTGTTAAATTTTACTCGCAGTCTTATTCGTATTAAATACAACAAATCAAATGCAAGTTTAATAACTCAAACTCAACCTCTTTTTGCCGCAGTTTCTCACAAGTCCAGACACTCTGTATTTGATGCGTCTCCCATTGAATTATTTTATTGGCGCCATCCAGTGCGTCATCAGCACACTGGACAATAAAAACCCACCGGCGTTTCCAACGGTTCATCGATGGATAGAGTATATTGATCCAATTCAAGGCGAGATATGGTAATTAGATGTCGGCCTTCAGCGAAAACTCTTTCGTTCAAAGTTTGTCAGTTTTGGGTCATTCAGATGCCTTAAATTATCTGAATAGACTTAAGGTGACAAGTTGGTTATTTTTGAGGGTCTATAAACATTTAATACTTCAATTAAGTAGTAAAATCGCCTCGCACGCGATAGATGGCGCATCTAGGTGACAGTGTGTTTGATTCTGGGCGACTTTTAAGTGAGATAAACCGACCCTACTCTCTACCCGCTGTGGCGCTTGCATGTGCTAATCCTGACGGCAAATCTGCCAAAAATAATTATTGGGCCATATTAGAGACGTGCAGCTGCGATATGTTTTGTTTACAGCATTAGACGTAAATAACGTGAATTAAGATAGACAAATTTCTTTATAATAATTTTTTTTTTGCTTTGGTAAAACTTAATCTTTTCAGGGTTTCAGACACTGCACTAAAGCGATGTAGAAATATGTAAATAAGTGAAGAGAAGAATGTCAAAATTTTACAACAAATCCTTCCAGCTTCTTCATATTTCGCAAAGCACCAACATTTTTTGCAATTGAGCAGAACTATCTCATAAACAGTTTATTAATTCAGAAGTTACTCGCAGCCTAGCAGTTTTCATTCAACTTATGCATATAAATGTTTCTGGAGTACTAAGCCCTACAGGAAACTTGAAATTATTTCTGAATTCTAAAGCAAACGAAACTTCAGAAAATTTATAACAAATTGACTAAACATGTGTGTCCCTTTTGTACTTGATGTTGTAAACAATAAATACCATGATTTTAAATTTCGAACAACTCTTTGAATGAAGGAATGGGCTGAGCGAAACATTTTACAATAACTAAAATATTTCACTAGTTAAACATATTACAATCTTGGAAATTCTCGAAGTGTACTTTTTCTTGCTCGCGATAAACTAAATTTCAATGTAATTTTAAATTTTCACTTAACTCCTTTTGCTTTCATTCTTTATTTTCAACATCGAAACATTTTACTCGGTTTAGTCTGTGTCCACATAACTGCAGGGGAGGCTCCCTCACCAATTTCCCAGAAAGAAACCGCTTCACTGTCCCACTCAGTACAAATGTAAAATATTTCTGAAGCCACTCAGAGAAAGGACTATCCATCAGCGCCTATTTTTTTTTTTTAAGATTTGCGCTAATAAAAACAAAACTTCGTTTAATGCGCAATGTGACTAGAGGTAATAGGCATTGATAGGATTGTTTTGTGCGTGTGTGTGTGTTTGTGTGCTATAATCTTACAATAAACTACACTAACCATCCTTTTATACCTCGTGAGGTAATAATTATACTGAAAGTATAATTTTAATTTGAATAGATTTGTCTTCCTGAAAACCGTGAAAGGTAGACTATACGGCCTTTGCAGGTGAATTACACGGCCCGTTGGACGTAATATAAGGAAATAATCCTTACGATCAGTCGAATATATAAGTAAAATTTGTTAATTATTTTAATTGAAAAAAAAACTTTTTTTAATTAGTAACCTGCTGGGCACTATCTAAAACAACTAAATCAGTCAACTTCAAAAAGTGTTGAAGGACTTGTTAAACGCATAGATGAGCTGAAGTTCCCACTGGTGCAAGAGGCGTAACGTTGTCGGTGTGCAAACGCTAATGGAAATATTATCATTCGCGTTTTCGGACCGCCAGCATTGGTTCTGCTGCACAAGTGAAAACTTTAGCGCACACCGCGCCTATCACATTATTCATTGCTTTCTAAAAATGAGTGATTTAGTGATTTTTGATGGCGCTTAGCACGACTTTATAACCATGTGTCTATTTGAAACCAATAAAAAGCAAATTCGCTTTTTGATTTTGTGCACTGGTTATGTGCAATACCTTTTTGATGCCTTCTAGGAAAAAAAAATGGGTGACGCTGACAATGCAAAACAAAACCGCTTCAAAATTATCCTCATCATTCACAACCACTGGTAAGTTTCTGCAATAATATTCAAGCACCAAAAGTTAAATTGCAGTGACATATATCAAATTATGATCTTAAAATAACCCGTATTCTTCAATATAGTTGCCCACTGAGACATATCCTGAATATATTTCTAAATTGCAAATACTTATTATACAAACATGTTATTGGTAGTACGACGAAGAGGTTATAGAATCGAACGTTGAAGATTTAAATAAATATTTATAATACTTCAAAAGTCTTATTCACCTCCCAACAACTTTGGTTTAAAAAGTTTAAAATCTAACATTTTAAATAATTGCGTATGTTGCTATATGTTTAAAAAGTTTGCAGACAAAAATGTCCGCTGATGCTTGCAATGCAGAAAAATCAGTTTGTTTCCAGCTACGGTAGTTTCCTCTCTATATACAAACAAGTTGGCTGATTAAAATATACCCTATTGAAAATTCCATCAAGGTACGTAATTTGGGACACTGACTGCCAGTCAGCAGCCTTGGTGGAAAGAGATGGATTATCAGACGTCATCTGATGGTCCATCAGATGACGTCTGACTGCCACTGCCAAGGGAATTTCATCAACAAGGGCAGCATTTATATAAGAGTAGAGCTATAAGCACTCATAAATATCGCCAAATGCCTCAATAAAACAAAATGTTCAAAAGAAAAAAAAAAAAAAAAAAAAAAAAAAAAGCTGGTCCACTGCGCATCGAACCCGCGACCACTTGCATACAAATCGGGCATCTTAACCACCATGCTGTGTCTCCGCTTTGGAAACTTGATTTGACTATTCGATTTATACGAGATGCTTCGGCTACAAATGCAGTTAAGTTGTCAGCGTGTTATGCAAAGCACTCGTACATCACTCGCCGTACTTCAGTTCTACTCACCTGCCATCTAGAGTACTTTCGCGTCGTAGAGCGATCCTTTTGTTCGCGCGTCACCGGCCCAGTAGACCTGGTACACCTTGTCGTCTTCAACTACACCGCTAAAGTCCCTTACATCGTCGGAACTCACAACAGGCTGGGTCTTGTCGAGTAGAAATTCTACTAAAACATAAGACATTGTAGAGCCCGGGTAGGATCGACAGGTTAAAGCAAGCGGGCAAACAAAATGAGTCGAGAGCGATCGTTCATGAAAGCTCGGCGACGTCTCTATGGGCGAAGCGAAGTCGGCGAAGTGTCGTGTTCGGCGCTTCGGCGGGCTTCTGACCAACGTTGTTGGTCCGCTGCGTGTCATATCTCTAACGTCAGCGGTTTTATGGGCTCACGTCCCGAAATCGTTTTCTCGTGCATAGATTCCTTTTTGTATTCATAGATTTGACGAAATAGTGGTATCCGAACGAACTTTACGTCCTTTGAACGTACGTCTGTCTGCACGTCAAAGCTTTTTTACGTACAGTCAGAGACAATCAATGTACAGTCAGAATCGCCACCAAGACATCCTGATGGCATTTCGCGGCGGCCGACTGCCACCAGGAAACCATCAGAAAGCCGACAAGCGGAGTCTGACTGGAGTTTGACTGTCGGTCAGAGTAACTTGTTGGCCAATCAGACATGCTTGACGTACAGTCAGGCACAGTCAGCGGTCCACTAGAAAACATTGACTGCCAAACAGCGTTACATTGAAGGATTTTTCCTTCGGGTATTTAATTCAGACTCGAACGCGATGCTAACGGTTAAATCAGACATACCACACTTAATACTTCCCAACTTTGTTGCGGCAATAGAAGTAAAAAAAAACAATTAATTTCTATCTGGATGCAATATTCAATCTTCTACTTTTATATGAAAGATTTTTCTTTTATTGACTAGTCTCTACCTTGCGTTTACTATGTCTACGTTTTCACAAAAAAAATCAAAAACTGCTTTCTGATATGTCAACCGCACCCAGCATTTTTTTTCTTTATTTGTTTGGCGGGTTTTTCCGCCCATTCAAGGCAATTACTTCTTTATTTTATTATTAAATAATGTCAAGATGAAATAAACAATTTCTTGGGAACGTCGCAGAACAGTTGATTTTCGATATGCGTTTTATTATTCCTGAGAAAACTAACACTAGTACGCTAGTTTTCTATCTGTTGGCACAATGATGGAGCGTCGGGCTAAAATTCTTAGGGTCGTGAGTTGAATTCCGCTTGAAGGACTTTCAAAGCTTTGTTCCGTCTTAATTTATTCACATACCACTGCTCCTCACACGCGCATTCCTTTCGTGTAACAAAAACAAACCAAAATGTTCCCACGGGGAAGCCAAAATCATTGCTGTAGGATTTAATATCGTATTAAAAAAAACATTAAACCGCAGGGAATGCAACGTGACCTTCCACTTTTATTATACGTTTATCTATTTGTACAAATTTTAACATTTTTCTACGCACTGACCTACCCTGAAAGGAAATAAAGGAGTAGCTTTTATCTGACCGGATTTAGATTCTGGCCGCAAGTCTAGAACACATGCCACGACAGTCTGTTATTTGTTATTACGGCTTCCCTAAACAAGCAAGCAGATAATATATTTATTTATATTTTTATCACAACGTAACCAACTACGTCGTTGTCAAAAAACATCTCGCTCATCAGTCTGAGACTATTTTCATCTCGATAGTCGAGCGAACAGAAAAGCTCGTTTTTCTTGCGCTCGAGCGTGGATGAAGGCAGTCACAATTAAATTACTATTCTGCCAGCAGGTTTCCCCTAATCATCCCTACAACGTTTTTTTTAGACTTCCCGAGCTTTGGTTCCGAGTTCCCCGTGGTGTTTGCCGACTCGAAGTGCCTGATATATCGAATTTTAAGCCACAATTTCGGTATGTATCCGCAAACTCGTACAGTACATCCCTCCATACTATAAACATAATTTTGTTTTTGTAACTAAACTTTAGCAAAAAAATATATTTCTATTCCCAATTGTGGTCGGTTCTCCTCTCTGCATACCCGATCTGGAGGAATAACAGGGAGCCAGCGGTTTCAAAAACAACAATCTACATTTAATGGAACGAGGACGAGAGCGGTTAATATACTAACACTGTTTCTACCACTTGGCGATAACTGGCCGACAGTCCCTAGTGTCGCTTCTGCCTCGCCTTAAAGGGGCCCTACAATAACTCTTTTACTGGTTTTTAATTTGCACCGAACTTGAGCGCACTGAACGTAGTAACTTAATGAAACTTTTCTTTACTCAAATCTTGCTGTATTTTAAAAGTTATAGGCAAATTAAAATTACAAAAACAAGCAAAAAATAATCTCCTTCATGACGTCCTTGGTTGCTTGAGTGACCGTGAACTAGAGGAGGGGCAGTGAACTCAGCGAGCGGTCACGGCTGCAGCACTCCGTGTCGACGGCTCGAGAGGGCGCCAATTAAGCATGTTTTCGATAGGCTCGATGAAGCGGGCAGCCAAGGCGGCTCGAATTGCATTTGCTGCCTGATTATACAGTAATTCGGCATGACACTTCATTGGCCACAAACGACAACAAGCACGGGGTAACGATTAGTTCAGAACGGGAGCCACTTCACGCTGCCATATATACCGCCAAAAGGCCAAACCGCAAACCAAAGCTGCTCGCCGAAGGCCTTGGGAACGCTCGGAACCGGTCGGATCCTCCAGTCCGTATGATCGCAGCGCCGCCGCGTACATCCGGGACCTTTCTACGCTCGCCGCTTGTTGGCGCCTGATCCCACTACACCTTTCTAGCATGCGCCGCCTTTTCCGCCGCTTGGTGGCGGTCATGTCGACATGTCATTTCTTGTTTTCGTAGTTTCTAAACTGCATTTGGTTCTTTTCTAAACTAAAATAGTGAACAAAAACTACATTCATAAACAACTGAAACGGTTCGCGCCAATTATAAAGAAGCTTTTAGCGGCTCTAACCAGTAGTAAGCCCAGGACCAAAGACGTCAGATATCGCGCGCTTTCGGCACCGCGGGTCGACCCGTAGGTGGAGGAGGTTTCCGCGTCGTCCGGTTAAGATATTACGCACTGATATTTAGTTTCTCTCTCCGTGCCCGCTGACTTACCCGAACCCCGAGGGACGCAGAAACCGCAACAAAGGTAGATGATTAAATATGATTACAGGGCCCCTTTAAGTTATTTAGGCAAAGCTAGCGGCACGAGGCGCGCGAAGCCGGCTGCTTGCCTCCACCTTGAGGCCGAATAATGGCCGCGATGTTGGGGGACTAGGCAACCGTGTAGGACTGGGCCCCCACACACTATATGCATAAGATACTTGTCAGCCGATCTTTACTAAAACTGCAAATTAAGATTGGTCAACCGCCAGGGCAACACACTCCCATAGGCTAGCTGGGGCCAGGATTTGGCCTTGGCCCGAAGAGATTGGAATGGGCCCGCCCCGTGAATTCGGTCAACTGCCAGCAAGGCTTTTCACTGTATTTCCCGGGCCCCGGAATTTCAAGGAACTGCCAGGGAAGGCATTTCCTTGGCGTTCCCTGGTGTCTTGGTCCGAGCCGAATAGCGTAGGTAGGCGGACACCAACATTGAAGGTTTATTTGCGCTGCGCTGTATCTCACGAGCTCCGAAGTCCACGGAACGACCAAGCAATGCGTTTCCTTGGCGTTCCTTGTTTTCCCTTGGTACGAGCCGACCAGGGTCAGCTCACAAAAGATAAGGTCACCCGAGTAAAGCTCGTCCACTTTAGTGTGCGTCCGGAGAAAAGCTCACCAGTCTTTCGACATACCCGTAGAAAACCTCACCTTGAAATAAATTATTATTGAAGGCTAGTCTCACACTGACTATACACCGTGCAGCAAAGTTAGCGCGAAGCGAACTTTGTAGCGTGAGCTACACTGGCCGAGCTTGAGCAGTTTCTCGTGGCTGTCAAAGAGCCGCGCTTCGCAAGCGCGAGGAGCAGTGACGTCACATGGCGCACAGCTGGCGTGCCGGAGCCGCCGCGCGCGCCTCGCAGGTCTGCACATTCCAGAAGAGTGACGTCATAGCCGCGGCAGACGCACTGGTGCCGCCGCGTGCCCAGCTGTGCGCCTCCGTTGCGCAGTAGCCAAGTCTGACGCTGCACCGCAGCCGCTTGATAGCGCCTCTTATTTTGAGCGCATAAGCTTACGGTACGTATATCCTGGCATAGCCGAGCTAAGCCACCGCAATTTTTTCGCATTTTACTTAGAGAAGGGGTCAATCAGCGTTAAACGTCTATCCCATAAGCTCGCGCCCCGGTTAAGCAATTTTCACACTTCTAATAGTTTTAATAAAAACAACTAAAATGAAAAAAACAACTTCGTTTGTTTATGTTGACAGTGTCACACAGTGTACACACTTCACATCAGGTCGCTCTGCTGTAAAAAGGATTTTAAAAATACTTAAAAGTACAGTTTTTTTATTCAGGTTAGATTTATTTTATTTACATCAGACTAATATCAATGTAGCTAGAAAATATTGATTATTTATCACTACATGCCCATTTGCACACAGGAGGTTGTTTTATCAATTCTTCCGATCAGCGAAAACAGAACGGGAAAAGGAATTACTACACTATTAAAACTTTGTGTTCATGAAAACCCCGCAAAACAACATAGAATTTTGTGAACAAAACAGGTTGTATTAGATTTGTTTTAGCGATCTCATTTTCTTGCAATACAAAACTTTGCCTATCTTCGTTTTTCATCTTTTGCGTTTTAATGTGATTGCAAAAAATAAATGCGACGTAAGTGACGAACGAAGCCGGAGGCAGAAGGGTCATCGCATCGATTTGCTCCGACGACCGCTGCTTTTTGCTCGCGTTCAGTCTGATTTTAAATCCTTCTTGTCTGATGCTTTTTTTTTAATTTAAATATGCATATCCGCATATGGAAAGCATCAAATAATACCAACGGTAAATAAAAAAATGTGTTCTACTAATTTTTGAGGGAAAGGTTTGATATGAATCATCCAAGTCAAACCGATCTCATTTAAATCACACTATAAATTGTCTTGATTTTTAGTCTCTACCATGGCTTCAGCCCTGGTTCCATTTTTATGCCAACTGATTTCGCGTGAGTGTTACTATATTTAAATGTGACGAAGGCGGAATAGAGGAAATACGACATTTATCTTTATTTTCCGTTCGAATGAGGTAAGAATTGAAATCACTGTATCTTAAACAAATTGTGAAACCTGAAGGTTTAACACTGCGGTGTCGGTATACTACATAAAAGGTTATTTGATAAATAAATATCCAAAAACTACTGAAGCTGCAGCCCTCAACACTGGTTATACTCCCCCGCCCCCGCCACCCCTTCCCCCCCCCCCCCCCCCTTCCCTCCCCGGGTTCATGTTTTAGTTAGCGTTCTCGTACAATTACTTATTTTATTTTTGTAGGGCAACGCGTGACGTGTTACAGGAAGTTTTTATATTTTAAGATAAATTTTGCGAGTGAAGTGCAGGATGAGCGCATACGCATAAGGCACCCCAGCATGCTTCAGTTGAGTGATCGTATTTCAGAGAACGCTCGATTCTTAGATTCGTAGGTGAGCTGGTCTCCCCATCTGCCGAAAAACCGGTCAGCTTTCCTCTTCTCCGTATTGGACAGTTTGTGATGAGCTTTTCTTCGGTAAGCCTTTCTCGGATGGTCTTATCTTCGGTGAGCTTTTCTCCGGTGACCTTTTCTCCACCGCCCGTTTATTTCGAAGGAAATGAACCAATCGCCATCCGTCAGTGCTGCAACAAAATCACGTGAAAAAATATGCTGCTCGAAAAAAATTTGCATATCTTGCAGCGGTGGTGAACACGCGTGCTTCCTTCGCCGTTTGCGCAGACCCTGCCTTCATTGCAGACTAATGCCTTGTTCAAACTTGCGAACCGCCGGCCGGATTCGCGAGAATTCTGGTGCCGGGCGGCGAAAGCAGGCAGAATTTCCGGCGGAGAGCGAGATCGCTCTGGGACCAATTTTAAACGCCGGAAAAAAACTTTCGCTCGCCGCAAGTCAATCAGAACGCACGGGGGAAGTGGCGCTTGCTAACGTCGGATCCCCGCTGACGAGCTGGCGACGATGCCGACGAGACGCGCGCGGGCAAGGAGGAGGTTTGGGAGCTCTCGTCAGCTCTCGTCTGTTCGGGAAACTGCGAGACGCTGGCGCCGTGCACTCCGCAGACCGCAAAGGATGTGAACGGCCCGATTTCTTTTCGGCGAGCGAATCCAGTCGGAGGAAAGTGCGTATTTCGCAAGTATGAACGAGCCATTAGGCTGTGGGATCGTTCGCCGGATGACAATTCGTCTCACGTCAACTGGTAGGAGCGCTATTCTTCTCATAAGGAAACTCGTCATAGGGCAGTTCGTCACTATGACAATTCGTCAACTTATTACAGATATTTCTTATTTTTGTGGCATTTCTGATGTTTATCGGGCATAGTTCTTCCAGGTATATGCAATCACCAGGGACCCCCTTCCTTGATTTAATTATCGTTTTCTCAACGTAACAAGTTAAATTTTTACTCATTTCGAATATGCAATGTCCAATTATGTATTATCCACCACAATCTGGGAACCTCTCTATCACTAATGCAAAAACTGAATGGCAGACGTTTCGGTCACGCATACCTGGTCTGTGTCTTTCGCGCACGTGGTCGAGCTACATTGTTTTTTGTGTCGCTCATGCGCAGTTTGTGGCTGTGCCCTGCTTGCGCAGATGTCTCTCTTGTGCAGGCACAATCTGTTCTTTCGAACGTGGACAAGATACATTATTTCCGCATTGCACTGGCGCGGCATCTATCTGTGTCGCACATGCGCTGAAAAAACTTGGAGGTCAATTACAAGGAAGTCCTCGAAGTTTTATATTCCATGGTTCCAAGGTTAACCAAAATGTTTATCAACTTGAAAGAAAACGAAAGACCAAGCTCTGTAAACAGGACACCACACGGAAGCTAAACAGCAAAAACGACATAAAGCTAAACAAAATCTAGCGCGCAGGCCACAAGATCTTCAAACATTATCTTAGGTTTTTCGAAAAGTGGTCCCAGTGACGAATCGCCCTATGACGAACTGTTCTGTGATATGAATTGCCCTGCTACGAGTTGCGAGGGAACGTCTAGCCCTGCTACGAGCTACGGCCTTCCTGAAACTTGGGAGGCCAATTTTGCTATCCCAAGAGCTAAAACAACTCATAACGTTCACTGCGTATACGCAGCGGAACCAGCTGATCACAACTGCAATGACAACTAATATATAGCGCGCACAGGGAAAAATATATTAACTAATTAAGCTGTTCAACGCTATTCAGAAACTAGAGTACCTTGGTCAGCCTTTGTGAAGACAAAATAAGGATTTTGTCCATTTGAACCAGGTTGTAAACATTTACTCTTCATGTGCTAAACGCGACGCCGTAGTCCTGCTAAGCTTCTTAACTTTAAGGTCAGATCAAGTACGGTTCTTTCATCCTCACATTTTCGAGCATTTCCTCCTTGGAGACCTCGTAACATTATGCAAGAGCCCCGTGATATATTTAACGTAGATCTTGACTCTCGCAGACGGTACAATGTTTCTTAAGTTCATAAACAAGAAACTATATATCTACACGTAACGGCACAAGAAGTGAGAGGAATTGTGGAGCACAACGAGCACGTATCACGTGCCAGCAAACGTCGTCGCGTTTTACGCGGCGGCGTGGGCTTCGAGAACAGCTCTGATTGGATACATTTCGTTTCGGCACATTAATAAAACAGTAAAAAAAAAATCCGAAAACATAAAGCGACGTAATGTAGTACTCAATAAGAAATAAAAAAAAGGCTGTTTGGTGTAGTGGCTAGCATACCCTGCGGCTATTTGGAGACCCGGTGTTCAAAATCCGGTGCCAGCTAAAATTTAGTTTTTTTTTTTTTTTTTTTTTTTTTGGCTTTGTAACCTTTGTTACAATCTAAGAAGTACGGTTCCTTCATCGGCATATTTTTAGTAATGACAAAATGATGCACGAACATCAAAATCACATTGTCGGTAGTTACGTGTTAGTCAGCTCAGTGGATATCGCTTGCTAGTAGAAGCCGACCTGCAGCAGACATGCCGATAAAGGGACACGCCCGCACTGCTTTACAACACAACAAAAGAGAAAGACAAACAAATTACCGCGCAAGTACTTAGTAAACTTGCATCTCTCCGAGAGGATCGCAACTGAAAGCAGATGAGACATTTGGAGGGTCTCAATTCCAGACAAAAATAAGTTTTTCTCGTGCACAAAACAAAGGTTCGCAGAAAACAAAATATTTTATATTTGAGCGAAATTAAAAAAACCGGGTAGGCGTAGCGTAGCAGAGGAAATTATGTCAATAAACGTCGATGTCGTCAAAACAACGCAACAATAAAAGAAAACTCAAGATAAATGTACGTTTGTGTTAACAATAAACAAAAAAGCCAAGAAAAAAGACAAACAAAACGCAGCTAAATGAAATGACGCAAAGGCATAGCGGATTAAAACGAGAAATAAAATTAGAAAGATATAACAAGTTACGAGACCGTCCACCGTGGGCAGGCATTTATATTAGAACAAAACACGTGAAATAAGCTAACCCAGTAATAAAAATCAGAATTGGCACGTATTCATTGCAACTGATAATCATCGTTATTCGCGCTACAACGCAGCTTTCTTTTTTCGCACACAAGAGAAGACAGCGCTCCTACCCGCGCAAGCTGGTATAGTAATATACGAATTTAGCAAGATAAGCCAGTTTGCATATTCTAAAAGACAAAAGTAAAACATTAATAGAAAAGAATGATCTAAGCAACAAAAGTGAGACATTATTAAGAGAAATGATGTAATGCTCGGGGAAGCAGCGTCTATGGGTTGTTCCTTGACTGAGGTAGTCTAGTAACGTTAAAGCGTATATTAACTGGTGTAGATTGTAGTGTCAACTGTTTAGGTTTCAATAACACACGAGGGGTGATCAATTACGTTTGCCTTCTACGCAGTAAAATTTTTATTCAGTGATGGAATCGAAAGATAAGAAACGCAACCATGGTCACCTACAGCTTAAGAAAAGCAAGGCGTGGCTTATTATGTTCAGCCTTCGGGTCTTGTAATTTGTTATCTCCTAATGCCGCAATCTCATTGGATGCAGACCAAAAATCAGATGCTTCCACGTCACCACGCCCCTCGTTTCTTAAGTTGTCAGTGAAAACAGGTATACGCTCCCTCGATGTCTGCTTGTTTCACGACATGCACTCTTGCAGCGAACTGTAGGCTCGTAAATTGCCATTGTCTATAATGACCATCCTCGCACATGGTCATTTTCAGTGGGATGACATCGGACATCCTATGCATATTGGGCTTATTTTAAAACTTTTTGATGTCATAATCGGGCATTTGTTTCTATATTTTAATCAGCCTATTTAGACAAAAATTTTACTTGGCTGTTTTAAGGCCTCTAGTAATAAACGTAGATATCTCGTTGACGGGATTTTGTCCGGAGCAAAGACGGGCTGACCGCTGCATTACTGTGCATGGTTTGTATTAGCCCTCTATGACTTTTGGATCCGTGTTAAGCAGCAATTGGTTTGTCTTGCTTTCTTTGACAGGTGGGCGAACAGGTTGTGCTTGGTGGGTGAAAGAAAGCGCCAAAGACAACCCTCTGTGGCATTGTAGATTGATTTTCGATTTTTTCTGTAAAATAAGTTACAAAGAAATTTACAACAAAAAGGCATGTGATCATTTAACGAAGCAAGGAAAACTCAGTAACAGACTTTTGGGAAAACTTTAGTCATTGCTCGCCATAGCATAATGTGCCCCGCGGGCGTACTTTCTATGCCCCGCCGTAAACAGGAAGGTAGCATTCTTTCTATATACTTCTGTGTTTGTTTCATAGTACTCTGCTTTTTCCAAAAATATTATAGCTCTGTCTGCAGTTCCTTGAATAAGCGAACATAAATGTTTGAGTGAAATAATAAAGAACATGGCTCAAAAATCATGCTGTGTGTCAGTAGTATTTTTGTTTTCGCCGGTGCGGGTAAAAATCACTTGTTTTATACAAAGGCTTTTATAGAAAGTCAATGTTTAACTAATAGTCAACCTGTATATATTTCATATTTGGAGTTAGATATAATGTACATCATGAGTGAGGTAGCTGTAATTAGAAACAAAAGAATCAGATTGGGCGCCGCTGATATTTATACATTGAGAGGTTTTTCCCCCTTTGAGCTCCATTTGGGTTCCAAACTCATATATTTCGACTTCGGAATACATGGACGTACGCCGGCATGTATTAGCGACAGATGTATTTTCATTCACGATAATTTTGTGAGAGCGACTATAATTATTTGTTTTATAATTAGATTGGAATTTTTTTTATACGTTGCGCTAATGGCGTTGATGACAACCAATGTCACAGACACGTCCCGGCCGATCGCTGCCACGGTCAGGGTAATGAGCTCCTAGATTTCATCAGAGTACTCATGGTGAAAAATTGATACTGTGAATACATACTTATTTCTTTTATGACTCTTTTGAAAATATGTGCTCTACGAACAACTATAGTATTGACGAATTGTGGCTCTTCGTCAAGGACACTATTCATCACTGTCTGCATACCTTTGTGCCGACTCGTAGGGTTGTGTCTGGAAAACGTAACCCGTGGATTGACCGCGAAATCTTGCACTTGACTAGACAAATTAAACGATTAAAAAAGAAGTCGGCGCCTGTTGCAGACTTGAATGACAGACTGAAATTCATGATATCAAACGCAAAAGATAAATTTTTCAGCGTTACTTTGCACAACTTCCTCAAGTCATCACCAGCAAAATTTTGGAGATACCTATCGCCGAAGAAACACTCTGTCAGCTCTCTTTCCATATCTCATAGCACCGTCAGTGAACCCGGCGTAATCGCGGAATGCTTTAATGATTACTTCTCGACTGTTTTTACCATTGACAACGATGATTCCCCCTGTATGACAGATGCCGTCAGCTTTGACCCCCTGCCAGATATTAACATTTCGTACGAAGGCGTCTGATCTTATCTTCTAAACCTTGATACTAAGAAGGCTCCTGGGGTCGACGGCATTCCCAATGCTTTTTTTGTCCTCTATGCTGAGTGGTGTGCAAAGTCTTTACATGAACTTTTTGTAGAATCATTGTCCTCAGGAAAGTTGCCACATGTCTGGAAGTCAGCCAAGGTCATTCCCAATCATAAAGATGGACCTCGCCAACTAGTTAGCAATTACAGGCCAATTTCTATTTTATGTTCGTGTTCGAAGCTTATGGAACACATTATCTTTAAACACATCATAAGCCACTTGGAGTTCAACCGGTTTTTTAGTCCCAACCAACATGGCTTTCGTAAAGGTCTGTCCACCACGACCCAGCTTATTGAAACGATTCATGAATTTAGTGCCTCTCTTAACCATACCGGGCAAATTGATGTAATATTTCTTGATCTATCTAAAGCATTTGACAAGGTCTCTCACATTAAGTTGCTTGTAAAACTGCAGTCCATCTTAAGTAATGATAATATAATTAACTGGTTACGAGGCTACCTAGAATCACGATCCCAGTTTGTTGAAATTAGCGGTTCTCGATCTTCATATGCTTCGGTAATATCAGGCGTTCCGCAAGGGTCCGTCCTTGGACCTCTCTTATTCCTGATTTTCATTAATGACATTACTCGTAACATCCCTGTGAAATTACGCTTGTTTGCTGATGACGCCATATTGTACACTGAAGTCCGTGATGTAAATGACCAAGTTCAACTTAATACTTGACTTTGCAAAATTCAGGCATGGTGCTCGACCTGGCAAATGTCACTAAATCCCATAAAAAGTGTCTACATGCACATCACTCGCAAACGCAACCTCCTAACTTATCAGTACGCATTGCAGAGTCATATCTTTTCAGAAGTCTCGTCCTATAAGTACCTTGGAGTTCTAATTAGTAACGATTTACGTTGGAATGCTCATGTTAACTACATAGTGCGTAAGGCGCTGTCGAAACTGTGGTACTTGCGTCGAAATTTCAAACAAGCTAGTGTGGATATTAAACTGACCGCTTACAAGACATTTATTCGTTCTACTCTCGAATATGCTGCAATCGTATGGGATCCCTACACTGCACAAAATATTTCCTTACTTGAAAGTGTACAGAAAAGAGCACTCCGTTTTATTTTTAACAAATATGGTCGTCTTGACTCAGTCTCAGCCCTTTATGACCTTGCAGGCTTGCCTACATTGCAGCATAGACGTAAGGTGGACAGATTGAAGTTTATGTTCAGTCTAAGTTCCGGTCATGTAAACCTGGATAAAACTTTGTACATAACACCACTTGGGGTTCCTAGATATCCTTCCAGAAATCGAAATATCAGAGCCTTCGCCGAGTTCAGCTGCAGAATAGATGCTTTTAAGTACTCATTTTTTCTGCGAACGGTGAATGAGTGGAACAAGTTACCCGAGGAAATTGTTAATTCTTGCAGCTCGCCAGAATTAGTTAAACGCTTAAACAACTACCTTTAATTTTATTTTTCCACTGCTCAGTGTGTGTTATGTTTAGGAGCTGTGATTGTGATATGTAGGCCCTATTCTTTTGTTTCTTTCTTGTGTACCTTGTTGCTCTATTATATGATTGGCGTGGTTGATCTTTGTATTTATGCATTGAGCTGTATCTACATGAAAACCCATTGTTCATTCTTTTTTTTTTTTTTTTAGGCACTGTCGGCTGTTGGACTGTTGTTTTCTGTATATTTGAAGTGTTTCACTCCTACCATGTCTCCAAATTGGAGTATGTAGTATTTATAAATAAATAAATAAATAAAATTTTGTAGTTTCGTGACACGAGAAAATGCACTTAATGTATATTTTGCAGAATATTGAAATATCTAGGGGGGCCCAATTCATCCAACCCACTTCCCACTAACCGCGAAATTCGGTCACTGAATGTAACGTGCTGCGATTTAGGAAGGCTGGCTGGCTAAGTGGTAGATTTTGTGCAAGAATTTATTAATACATAAACTTACCTTATTCAAATAATGAAAAAAAAGCTTGCTGTAGTCAATTTATGGCGTCGTTTCGAAGACGTTGCTAGCCTGCTTGGATGTGCTTCGGAGGGGTGGCGCAACGGGAGACAAAAAACTATACGAACCCTAGACCGATCATCTTCATACCAGAAACAAAGGACTCTGAGGAGCATAAACACCTGCTTCTGTGATTATATATATATATATATATATATATATATATATATATATATATATATATATATATTATAAAAATAAATTACTTCACACAAGCTTTGGGAGGGACGAAAATACGTCCTCGACTATGGGTGTCGGGAAAGAACATCTTTGGCGACTTACGGTCATGTTGAATATTGCGATCGAATGACTGAAAACTCAGGTAGCAGCATTCTTTGGGGAAGGCGATAAAAATTTGTGCCACATCATAATAACTGCCGGCATCTGTGTGATGATTAGGTGCAAAAGTAGCAAGGGTAGCTATCTGCAGGAAGCTGTGCGTTTCGGTCACGTGAGGGGAACATCACTGGCGCAAAGATACGCTCCGATAGGAAACCTAAGCCTAAACGCGTTCGAAATAATTGTTTCTATATTGTTTTCATTTTTATTTTTTTGGAGAGCGCAGCGCTGAGGTGTTTGTTTCCGGGTTGAGCGGCGTCGACATCGGCGTAGCCGCTCGTTGCGTTATAGGACGTTTCCCATAATGACGTTACATGTGATTTTTCACGTAAGGTGTCCCGTGACGTCACGTGTAACGTCAGACGTAACGTCACACGTGAAATTGACGCGTGATGCCACACGTGACGTCACACGTCAATTTCGCGGGAAACTTTCTATCGCGAAAAATTTCCTGCTAAGTTTAGCACTAAACCTTCCCGCGATATTTGCCGGAAAAATTTTCGCGCTTAATTTAGCGGGAAATTTAGCGAGACGTTTCCGCTAAATGGGAGGGAGCATGAGAGGTGGATGGGAAGGTACGGAGGGGCATACCTTCACCTTCGAACCCTCCCCTCCTCCTCCTCAAGTGTTGCGCTCAAATTCGGCATTACAGAGAATCGTAAACATCTTCATTTTATTAATTTTTTTTTCAGATCGCCGCAAATCCTTTCACGTGCCGTATATATTGTTAACATGAGTCGTTGAAGTGGTTTTCAATAATGCTTAGCATTTTTCTATTGGAGCCATATGCTTATTTTTTCTAATTGGAAAGAGAACTACCAAATATATTTAGTTATTTAGCTAATTATTATAATAGTGCAATCACTTACGTCGGTGACGGCTGGCAGTTTTTGTCCGTGGAGATTTTTTTAAACTCTTTTAGTCCGGGTTTTTTGTTTTAAGTTCTTCGTTGAAACAGCTAGTCCGTAGGTGGCAATTAAGTTCAAGGAAATCAAAATACGTAATTTATTTATCAGCAAAAAAAAAGTGACCTCCCATAAAAAAAAATGGAAAACTCAAATCTGGAACAAGTGAGCAAGCAAACGTTTCTTGTTGTATTCTTCGGTGAATAATCGTCATAGATTAGCAGAGATAAAAAAACTAACTTGTGTAATACGATTGCAAAAATATGCAAACTAACATATTTTATTCCGCGCTGGCTGGGAACTAATGTGTATTGAGTGTCAGCTATTTATTTAATTATTTATTTCGAACGCGTTTAGGTTTAGGTTTCCATAAGGTGTTAGAGAGGGGAGTTAGTGTTATGTACAATTAGGAAAACTGTGTCTCGAAATTTTATGGGGTCCTGGATGGTGACGATGTCTT